AGGAGACTAAATCATTCTGATCAGATAGCAACAGCTGCACATAGAAAACATCAGAATTTCCTGGATATTTTACCAGATGAGGAGTTATTAAATGGGTCTGTGAGTCCTGATAGAAAATACAGTATAGCAGAACATGTGCTATAGTTTCAATAGCCCCTTGTCTACAGGGGCAGTCTCAGCTCATATGGGACTTTTTTCTATGGGCCCTCCAAAACTACTGTAGGAAGAGCTTACAGCATGCTAGAGTAATCTGGAGAGAGTTATGTAATTTAGGTATCTTGCTGGCTTATAAAGAAAGGCTCGACTGCTCAAAAAAACATTCTTAAGTTAAGTAGAGCAGACTGGTCCTGCTCGACTGTTTCATATCATTTACTTCAGATTAATTCATGAGGTTTAAACACCACATTGTATGCTAAATACTAGTACATTGCCTTTTCAAAACATTTTATAAAAGTGACCCTGTATGATAACATTTATTAAGGCAAGATATTTACATACAGCTTCCAAATGAACAAGACTGCATCTTCAAAGGAAAAAAAACCCAAATTTTGCATTCTTCCTTAAGTACAGCAGCAACACATTGTAAACCACAGTGCTGGGTTCACAATCTATAAACAATCTACAAACGTTAGGGAAAGGTATGAACCCAGCTTAGCTTTTAACCCTAATAGATAAAAACATTAAAGATTTTAAAAAATGAGCATTTTGAACATTGACATAGTGGCCTGTATAATTTACAGAGTGCTTTCAGAGTGTAAATCAGAATTACTCAAATCTGATAGGTTCACTTCACAACTAATCCTAGCAGCACCTGACTCTTAGGAGAAGTCATTCTATTTTTCTGGGATATCTGCACAAATGTTTATAATTTAGAACATATTTAGAAGCATTTTTCAGAAGCTTCCATGTGGAGATCATGCATAATGAATGAATGAAATGCCTTGAGTTAGGGGAATAAGCAAGATTTATTTCTTAAATCTTCAACCTCTGGCTTCTTGAATTTCCTTTTTATGGCACTTGAACCTATCTAATTACATCTACCAAAAATCAGTAGCTGTTTCCTACTATTCCAAGGTGGAAATTGAATAGAAACTGTAATGTAAATCCTAAAAGTTGCTTAGCATGGCTTAAAAAACCCAAAGCCCAAGCACAAACATAACATTCTAGCCTCACCTGTGTGCATGGCACAATCCAGGATGTTTTGCATTACAGGACTGCCCCGTTTTTTCCAATAGGTTGTCTATTCCTGTTTTAGGATGTAACGTGAACTGTTTTTCAGCGTGTTCTCTGAAAAGTTGGTTTCAATATTTAAAGTTAATATTGTCTTTCCATAATTGAGGGAGTGCAATCTAGCTTGACAAAAATCCTAATATTAATATATGCAGTTCAAACATATTCTTCCAAATATGGGGAAATTATGGAAAACTGCTTCTTAAAAATCCTGAAAATCCTAAATTATGCTTTTTAAAATTCATAGTAACCCTTATTTTTCAATGAGTTTGAATTTTAAAAATCATTTGACAGTCTGAATGGCACAATACTGAAAGCATAAGAATTTTATAAAATGTCCATAATCCTTGTTTTTATGCTCCTACTGTAATCTAGTTTTCACTCTTAATAAAAGTTTTATATAGATACGCTGTATCCCAAGAAACCCACCTAACAAGCATTTAAATCTAGAATGCTAGCTTTCCAGTACATATTACACTGTACACCAAACTGTCCTTCTACGAAAAGAACACACGTAGCTCATGAATCAAAATATCTCTCGATGTAGTCTCCCTGCACATCACTACCACAAAGGATTCAAGGATATTTCTGCACAGATAAGGAAGAGAAAGTTACAAGAGGGATAAAAGAAAGATAAATTCCTGCTGCACAAATCCACTCTTGTAACAGTGGATGTAAGTGCACTGTATTATATGTATTATATATATTGTATGAGTTTATGTACTGTATGAATTTATAAATACATGAACCTTAATATGACACAATGAAGCAGCAAAAATGGATAAATTTATAGAGCTAAATTTTACAAAGTTTTTATTAGGAGTTACTTCTCCTACAAAAACTCTTAACAGTTTAAATTGTTTTTTTAAAAAAACTGATTTAATTCTTCAAAGACAAATTAGCACTAACACCTCTGAAAAATACAAATATCCACAGAATTCACTTTCCTTTGAATATCAAAATTCAGACAATCAGGGATGAATAAATATGCTACAATGGATTTTTTTCCTTTTCTATTCATCTTCCTTCACTGATAGCTGCATAAAATCCATAGAAAATAACTTGATGATTAAGAAAAATAATTTTGTATTGTATTACCATATAAATAGCATAATTACAAAATTCATTCAAATTAAATGTTAAAAAAGTGTAAAAAATATTACATGCAAGTTTAAATCACTAAGACATCTTAAGAAATTGAAGAAATTGTCTGTACTAAGAAGACAATTTAGCTTCTTTATCTGGAAGGGGATATTCTTCCACTTCACCATTAAACATCAGCTCTGCAAGAAAAGGCAAAATATCACAGAATATCAAAATATAATGAAAAATATATTTGCAATACCTCATATTGCACTGCCAAAAGGGAGGTCCATAAAGGTAATTCCCCCCTATCTCTTTCCATCAGGAAACACAGACTTCTGAAAATGCTACAGCTGGGGAATAAGTTGCTTCCCTGGGGGAAGCAGGAAAGAAACCCTTTCCAGAAGGACTCCCAATTTGGATATGCCGACTCTTTCAGATTACTGCAGATATAAAACTCTCTTCTGCAAGCTGACAAAGATGTCACTTGGCATTCTAAGGTTCTTAAAATTATTAGCACATTACTCTCAATATATTTGCCAGTATAAATGGAATAACATTTGTTAAATACATTTATAGGAGTAGTCAAACTGAGATAGAATTGAATTCTTCTTATTTCTGGACAATCTTCATCTTAATTTAATTTCTCTAGTCATTCTGGAATACTATTGTCTCTTCAAATATATTCCCATATTCCCTTCTAACACTTCTGTTATCTGCTGTTTCTTTCCTTGTGACCAACTATTGAAATTACTGCCAAATCTTCTCCTCCCTTTCCCCTAGCAGCTCCCTTGATCTAAACTTGTTTAGGAAAGAATGAGCAATTTACCACTGAGATAATCTATCAAGGAGATGCCCATATTCTAATGGATCACAATCTATCTTCTCTGGTCTATACCTTCACTGTGATCCAACTGGGGCCGATATGACAAGAAGAACCAGGAGATCCCAACAAGAAGAGCTATCACGAGATTAATCACAATCCAAGGCTGAAGAATCTCTTTTTCTTCATCTGAAATCCTGGGTGGGGATGGGGAGTGGGAGAGAGGAGAATCATATGTATTTATTAGATACGAAAGCTTCAGTTATATCTGTGTCATCATATATAATGTAGTAAAGATACCCTTATTGTTCAATACAATCTTTACAAAAGCAACTGTCTTTTAGAAAGAAAAAAAGCCCATAATTCTTACCAAAGGCTACCATTTTCTAAAGGTGGGGTGTACAAGTTGATTCTGTCACTTGTCATTTGTTGGCTCAGAGACAAGACAAGAGCAGCAAAATACACTGAAAGAAATGAAGCCAATAATGTTTATTATTGAGATATTCCAGATGTTTGGAATACAGTTAACAACACATTAACAACTCTGATCCTTACGTTTCTTCCATGAACCTGATTCACCAGAGTAGTAATAGCTAATTATGTGTTATTAATTTGCATCAATTTCCTTCAAATTTATTACATTTCCAGCATAGCAAAGACGTTGGCCAACTTTCTTTAAATATTCAGGGGGGTGGAAAAGTAAGTCTCCAAAAGAAAGTTTTGCTGAAATAACCAAGTTTTTCAAAACTGTGAAACTGATTACACTACTGTCACCACCTCACAAATTCTTTGTTCACTGCCTAGATTTTCCTTTTCAGCCATTCCAAAAAAGCAAAACATTTTGATAGTATTCAAATTTGCTCTTTTCTGTCCTATGTCAGAAAATATGCTTGCTGTTGTTTAACCTATTCAGATCAGAGATACAGAAGAGAACGGTGAGATACAAATTTGCAGAATAAGCTTACTACAGTTATCAAATTATTCTTTGATAAATATCTGTATAACCAGCTTAGAACTTCCTAGCATTACTTTTATTTAACAAAGTGTTGTGGTAGTCTTTGTGGAAATGGTTGCCTTTTAGAACACACAATAAGAACAGTTATGTAAAAACAAAGAACAAAGGTCCTTCTTAAGGTCAGGAATGAAAATATAATTAAGACACAAACTTGAGTAATTTGCTAATGCTTAATGGTCAGCTAATGCTGCTTACTCACTGAAAGAGGCAATTGCTGCTGGGTCCAATGTAAGAAAACTGCGTACTGCCACTGTTGCTTTAGCCAAATCGATTCTGAACAAGGGGTATGAAATGGACTTAATTAAAAGTAGTCACTGAATGGTCTGATTTGTTCTGTTCTGATATATCTCATAAGAAATTATCCACTGATATTAAGGAAATGTCATCTAAAACTTTGATCTAGAGGGCTGTTATGCCAGTAAAGAAGTGGATGATTATTTCATCAGACTAATTAATCTGTGTTGGTATCATGGGTTAAGCTAGATGTCACTCCAGTTCAGAAATGTTGATTATTCTTTTATTATGTAATAAGGTATTTCAAAAATAGGAAGCATAAGGAAATAACAGAATGCAATGCAAATCTTTCTGGTTTGGGAATAGTTTTCATACTTAACATCTTAAACATCATCAGAAAAACATCTGATGGGCCAACTTATACTGCACTGTTGCAATTATAAAGATCAAGAGTTTAAGCTTTTAATCATTTATTTTCAATTAATAGGATAACTCTTTAAATATATTCCCATAGTCCCTTCCAACACTGTTATCTGCTGTTTCTGTCCTTGTGACCAGAAGGAATCATAGGCATTGTCACCAAGACAGAGGAATGCACAAATGCTTGTACCTGTCAAAAGCTGAAACGGTACTAATTGTAAGTAGAAAGTAAAGGAGGCATTGAGCAGGATAAGCCAAAGTCTTGTACTGCTGTAGCAAGTTTGAAAGAGTTGAAAACTGATTTCCTGCCAGAATATAAATCACTATGATGTTCCACACAGCATAGCCAGCAAGAAAGCCATGAGTAAAAAGTCCAATCACCCTAAATAAAAGAAAACATAGTAGTAAAAATTTAAGCTTGTATAAATCTTACAGAGTTAAATGTTCAGAATGTCAGATTTACAAGAACCTTTATGACCACCATCTCAAATTCAGATTCTAGTGAATCAGAAACTCAGAATTCACTAAATTCTAGCCTCTGAATTTGCCTTGTCAGTAGTATTCAACTATCCAATAGGGACTTTTGTATTCAAGTTTCAAGTATTTCTATACAGTAGTCACAGAGGGGAATGGTTCAAAACCAAATGCTTTCAGTTAATAAGCTCTATTCAAATATGTTTTGCAGGTAGTAAATAACAATGATAAGAAATAAGTACAAGTGGAGGCCAATTGTCATTTCACACTACCGTCATTCTCTGAAGGAATTACCAGCATATTAATTCTTTTGGAAGACTATTTGGTATGAGTGAACTCATTGTGCAGAATATTACAGTGGTATGCATGCATCATACGGTAGATCTTTCAGACTAACACTCTAAGATGGACAAATGAGAGGAATTAAGATGCAGTGGAAGCGTCCTTTTAATGGTGGGACTCTGACCTCTTAATATATCCTGAAATAGAACTTCTTGTAAACAGTCTTGAATTTATTAGATACAAAGCTGTTCCAGCTCACTAAAGGCTGCATCTATACTAGCCAGGACTCAGCACACACATTCGCAATAGTAGTTTGAAACACAGTGACTATATAGGCATAAGAGGCTTGGCCACGAAGGGCTGGGTTCCAAACTTCACTTGCATCTCTGCACTTTAAACCTTAGAACAGAACTCATATTACCAAGCCAACACTATAAAGTTGAACTAAAGACTGTCTGCAGCATCTTAGCTTGGGCTATAATGATACCAAGAACCTACAGGGGAACATATTTTCTCCACCCAGCTCTAAAACAAGGTCAATTGATTGCTAAGCAGATGGTCACCTGAGTTATGAAGTGAAATCTTAGGGATTTTGTTAAACAATTGCATCTTATGAACCATGACAACATTTCAAGTGTGCTGGCTTGATGACCTGCCTTGCAAGACAGGGACAAAGAGACAGTGGAGAGGAAGAGAGTCTAATTCCAAAGTCAGGAGTAGGCATCACTGGACATTTTATTCATTTTAATCACTTGTTCATTTTCAATTATGTCTATAGTGAGAATAATTTCATACCTAAAACCACGGTGAACTGAAAGTGCCACATCCTTAGTGGTCCAGGAAGCCTTTATATCCATAAACATTTCAACATTTTCAGTAGTTTTAATCAAATCCTTGCGGTCTGCTGCCTGAAAGCGCCCTTAGGAAAGAAAATAAAACACAAGCACTTATAAAAGTACTGTTATTGCTTCTTATTACTTGTTCATAACAGCATCAGGAGAGTTTTTTGGTGAGAGACTAAACTGAGACTACATATATTTACACACTTTTCTATACAAACCCATTGCTGCTCTTACTGTATATCAGGGATGTCATCTGAAAGCAAACCCCACTGACTTCAGTGAAACATGAATATTTACAAGATGACTATTTGGTGGTACTTAATTTGCTGCAATCATCAGAAGCCTTTTTTCAGCCTAATAGCCAAACTCTTAACACTTTTGTTCAATTAACCTCAGCCAGCATTAAAAAAGAAAAAAAACGAAGTATCATCTAAGTGAAATATTAAGATGACTAAATCAACTTTTGAGACAAATAGAAGTTTAGACACCTTTCCCCCACCTGAGAAAGTTAGGATTGCTAATTGCTCTTTGGTTAAGATACAAAAGACTATCAAGAAATGTTACAAAGCTTTTAATTAGCTGCTCTAAATGACTGTATTCTTCAAATCTTTTTACAACTTCATGATGAGACTATGCAGAAACATTATAATGCATTAGTCACAGAAGGATATGCCCCAAGAATTCTACAAATTTCTACAAAAGAAAATGAAAAATGGATGCACAATGGCAAATCCTCTAAATCAGATTTTCAAACTTTCTTTCAAGAATCACTTTTACAGTGGGTCCCTGTACATCTCTGAATTAAAGGGGATGCTGAGGGTTGTCTGATGGTGCAGATAGTTCATGTAAGCTTTATGTGAGTTTCAAAATGGTCGTACTTAACTAAGGATGTGACCTGGCTTGCAACTTTTGAAATATAATACAACTTAAGGGCTATTTAAAGAGATTCATGCAGCCCTCCTCCCCTCCGTCCCTCAATATAATGTTCTGGAAATTACTAAACATCTGATTATTCTCTCAGGCCTTGGTTTTGCTTAGTTTTATTCTTCTGGTTGGCCATGCTCTCCTTCATATGTATTGTTTCTTTTATTGTAAGCCGCCCAGAGTCACTAAGTGGCCTTGAAATTGATTAAATAATAAATAGGCATAGGCTAGATGCAGAAAGTAATTCCTACAAGGTGCAAGATCAGTTAAGCACATGTCCTTGTCATCATCATCTTCTATTTCTTGAAATAAACTGACATTTGTTGTTATAAAACAAATTACTTACGATTTTTTTCAACAAACACTTTGCTAATAGGTTGGCTAATCCCAGTTGGAGCAGAAAACACAGGATGCTGTTCTGTGCCTTTTAGCTGCTCATCCTCAATTATATCTTCATCCTCCACAACCAATTCACTGGAACCCTCTGCAGGCCGGGTTTTCCTAACATTATAGCAGCAAAGAGAACGGACAGTCATTCTCTTCTTCAAAACTAGTGACTAAGGGTATACCTGCATCATACATTCGCTAGGATTGTGTAGCAATCTGCATTCAAAGAGAAAAAGGTGGAGTATGTGGAGATATGTACATCACATCTTTCAGCACCTGCTGATCAAGTACATCTTTTCCCCTTCCAATCCAGAGCTATTGTGTTTCTTATAGGATAAGCAGTACTCCACTGCAGTGAACTAGAAGCTGATCATGCTCCCTCATCAGAAACTTATGGGAATCAATGTAGACATGTTATGCAACATTAAGTACGACAAATGTTGTATTTCACCCTGTCATTGTAGAAGGGAGGGGAGGGGAGGGAAGGGAGGGAGAGAAGAAAGTTTGTTTCTGGCTGAAGAGAGATATGGCATAGTGGCCTAGGGCTTGGTTACTTGAGGGACTGCCTGTCTTAGCATCTGCCCAGAAACTTATGGGAATCAATGTAGACATGTTATGCAACATTAAGTACGACAAATGTTGTATTTCACCCTGTCATTGTAGAAGGGAGGGGAGGGGAGGGAAGGGAGGGAGAGAAGAAAGTTTGTTTCTGGCTGAAGAGAGATATGGCATAGTGGCCTAGGGCTTGGTTACTTGAGGGACTGCCTGTCTTAGCATCTGCCTGGCCAATTTCAACTTGCAGGGTTGGTGTGCTCCGGGTTCCTTTGATTAAACATCATCATCTATTGGGAC